GGCCTATACGTGGAATACCTGAGCGACGACACGAATATCATGTTAAGTAGGACTCGAAGAATCAAAACCTGTTATATAGTTCAGGACGAAAGGGAACGCATACTGACGGGTCTGACGGCTAAGCAGGCGATGCTCTACGCGTCCAAACTGAAGAACCAGTCGTCCGATGGCCAGCCCGTTGATCATCACTGGAATGTAGAGTCCTTGATGTTTGAGTTATTAATACTGAATACTATAGACACGAATGTGGAGGACTTGAGTGGCGGCGAACAGAAACGACTGGTCATCGCCATGGAACTGACCTCCGAAGTGAAGCCTAATCTCATTTGCATCGATGAGCCCACCAGTGGTCTCGACAGTAATGCCGCTGAAGTGGTCTGTATTATCATTTAAGGGTCACTTCAATACGTACAGTACTTACTCACAATATAGCAAAAACTAATCCCATCCACTATTTAATTATATTCAGTGAGAATTTAATTATAACACAAAGTTATGATATACAGTGACATGCCCTCCCTCATCAAGTGTCATGTACTTATTGAATGACCCTGTACAGTATTCTATAACTTTTGAAGAATTTAATAATAAATTTGATGTATAATTAGGTGATCGAGTGCTTGAAAAGATTGTCTCAAAAGCACAACACATGTGTCATAACATCCATACATCAGCCAAACAACGACTTACTGATGATGTACGACAAGCTGTACGTATTGGCCAAAGGGGGACAGGCGGTCTACGCGGACAGACCCCAAAACCTATGTCCGTACTTAGCCCAGTGCGGTGTGGACTGTCCCAAAGGGCAACTACCCATCGAAGTACTGCTCAAACACTGCTGTAATCCACCCAACGATCCGATGATCCAACAAATGGTTGCCACGACTCGGGTGTCGGAAAACCGAGTGATTAGCGATCGATGCGCTGACGAGACGATTGTCAGTCCCGATGGCGTCCAGAGACTGACCAAACGTTTCCTTTTAAAGGACTTATGGCTACTATTGTCGCGAAATATAACTTATACTTACCGCTATTATTGGCGATTCTTATTACTACAGTTCCTGGTATTCACGGGCACGGCCGTGTTTTTGCGGTTTATATTTAATTCAGATATAGGAGTTCCCTCGGCGTGCATCAACTTTGAGGACGATTTTAACAACACGTGCGCTAAAAGCGAGAAAAGTATCCAGGATGAGGAGCTGGTGAACAATAATATAAAGTATAACTTCTTCCTCGTAATGGTCATATTGTTTTTCAAACTCGTCTTAACAACGCTTACGTTTTCGGCTGATTTGAAGACTTTCTTCAATGAGCAACGAAATGGTAATTAAAAGTATAGTTTGTGTTATGAATCTCTAGTTCGTTAAAACTTATAATACTTTAAGATTATCAAGTTTGCGACCTAGTTTGTAATTTAGTTTCCAAATGCTAACTAAATAATCGCGGGTACTTTTCATGGTGCAGTTTACATGTTTTTGATTTATAACTCAAATTTAAACTCACAACTGAAGCTATCTATTTGGTTTAACAAAGTTAGAATATAATGCAAGAATAATATATAAATTTAATTAATTGTTTTATCATATCGTACATTTATAATTAATACCTATCTACCCATTGAATAGTGTGGTACAGCACCGGCGTCTACTACTGGTCCAAAGCCATTGTTGAGTTGATCCCTACGGTTATAATACTGGTGTGTTTCTCATACATCGGCGATATCTACGACAGTAAACATAGCATGTTCACCACCTATTTCATATTTTTAACTATCGGGGCACTCGAGATCCAAAGCCTGGGTCACTTTATCGGCATATTATTCGATGG